TTCCTTTTTCTAGAGCATATACCTCCTCTGAATGAATTGTATAATTTTTAAATTCTCTTTGCTCTTCATGGTCTCTCTCCTCCTGCTCTGACATAAGACCCACAAGGAAAACAATCTTTGTCGAACTTAGAGAAGAGTCCTAATCAGCCAGAGTTGTGCCTGATAAATACAGGCAGTTAATAATTACTGAATGAATGAGTGAATGATCAGGATTGAGAGATGGTGGTTGCCAGCTCTGGGTCAGTCCCTAGATACCTGGTGAGATCTGAATAAGGTTTAAACATTTAATTAAATCGGAAAGCATCTGTAAGCTGCAACATACTATACAAACAAGGTATAATAATTAGACAAGAACATGTCCCCAGGGGTTATCTCTATTTGCTGAAGGATTCTGTACAGGAGTTGCTGAATTCTGTTTACATCTTTGCTTCTCTACCCCCACCCTTCACTATCACTACCACACTTATGAACATCTGTTCTAAGTCAGAGGGGTGATTTCTCCATTATATTTCCCATTGAATATTGAGCTGAGAACCATTCATCTCCTCTTGAAGAGATTGTTTCAAAGTTTCTCTGAAGTAGCCCTCACGTCTAATATACTACTATGCACGTTTGTTGAAGACTAGGTATCTCTCCAGCAGAAGCCTTGCACTTTGAAGGGCTTCTGTTCAGACCAATTGTTTATCCTCAGCGTTGACCACCAAGATTATGAGAGAGGGAGGTTGGAGTGAGGGGCTGTGTAATCATACTGGCCTAGGGATGGAAGCAAGGAGATTCCTGACTTTTGGTGTGGATAATGATTTTAAACAATTAAACACCTTTTAGGGATTTTTTTCTTTTTTGCATTTGGGGAATAAGATTCCTTCTTCTTACTGCTTCATGCTTGCAAAATGATTCAAACAGCCACCTGGACCCTTTAGCTTTCAATTTACTAATAGTTAAAAGAGTGGGACATAAGGAAAAGAGATGAGGTAACAACGACGGACGGGGAGTGGAAGAGCAGACTTGAAAGTGTTCTACTCGTTGAGGGTCAGCCACCAAGAGTGAGGAGAGCAGAGTAAGGTCCCAGGCCTTAAAGATTAGTACAGAACAAGAGAAGTCAATTCTGGCTCAGTAGACGGGGGCATGCTAAAGTAAGGATACGTGGTGTCAAGAAACGAGGAAAGATCCCAGAGATAGAACTGCCGGTCAAGGTCAGAGAGATTCTGGCAGTAGCACTGACTTAGAAGTCAGCCTGTAACGTGAGGCTTTTAAAATTACATTTGGTTTTGAATAAATTATTCACCAAGCCAATTATTTATTAAGCATGTGTTAAGCACCTGTGATACGTACATAATTGTACTAGGGCATTGTACTGAATGAAATATGCCTATCACAAATATTATGTGATCTCACTTATACAAGAAAAGAGGTAAACATATAGGAAAAAGTTTATTAGTGGCTACAAGGAGCAGAAAAGAGGTTGGCAGAGGTGGGTAGTGATTCTTTAAAATACATTGACACAGAGTAATATTGCGTAACGGATTATTATAATTTCTGCCAATGAGCTCTATATCTGTAACAGGTTGGACTGGCAAATATAGTAGTGTGACAAATATAACCACAGCAACAACAGAAAAGTAACTACTGAGATTCTTTATACACAACCCAAAACCTGATGGCATGTGTTTCCTGCGTTTGGAAGTTTAGGGTAATGGTTACATGGTATCTCCCCGTCAGTGGGCTAATAAGATGTTTAAGAGTTTCTCTTCTACCTCCTAGTTTATTATTTTGTGCCTGAAGTCTTAAAAGCTTGCAACTGGCCACCCAAGGCATGACAACTCTGTCTTCTCCTGGAGCAGCAATAGCGGAAAGCAGGGAATCGAAAAAGGAAATGGACTGTGAAACTGGCTATTTGCCTCCATGAACTCCCTCTTTTGCCAGGAGACAGAAGGACTGGATGATGCCCAGCTACCATTACCGAGCTTTTATAGAAGAATTCCAATCAAAACAGGGGAAAGGCAGAAGAGAATTCCCAATTCTCATGAACTCCAGACTTTCATGAGTCAAGGAGGCTCAATGAACCTCTGAAACTATTGTCCTAAAATAATCTTTAAACAAAAATATCCCTGAAATCATCTTAAAACCAAACAATTCTTGGACTTACTTAGTGAAAAAATGTCTCTCTTTTCAGAATGATCTCTTTAGGATTAAAGTGTCAACACCACTCAAAAAATTAAATAGGAACCTTAGAAGAGAGTGAGTTTATATTAATGGGTGACATGGGTATTTAAGAAAAGCTGCTCAATTGGAAGACTATAGTCAACATGACAGAATTGCACATGTAGAAATAGATGAATCATATGTGCTTTGTTGTATGTATTTTCAACAAGGACAACAGCATAAAATTTTAAATGTTTAAATGGATTACAGTACATATATATTTTTATATACTGAAAAATACACCCATCTTTATATATTTATATATTTACATATCTATATTTACATATACATATTTATATGAAGTTTTTACTTCCTAATTCTTTCCTCTAGTTCTTTGTTTTTCCTCCTGCTCCACTATCATGTTCACCCATCAGTTGCCTCTCAGAAATTCCTCTCAGATACATTACAATTGGTCAAAACACCACCAGGAACACTACCCCCTCCTTACCATCCCTTGCTATTACCCTGTTCCTGATGTTATTGGCTCACTGCTCCCCTCCCCACCCCTGTCCCCCAAGCCCCTCCCTCCCTTGGATACCTTAGGACCTTTTGCTGTCTCCTTGGGATTGCTTATCCTGCCTATCTTATATAGGTAGACATCAAAAAGAAGGGGGTGGGGACCATATACATAGTTCCTGGTCTAGCTACTGATCTTTGTGACTATCCCCCCAAACAGTTCAGATGAGGTGCCAAGCGCTGCCCCTGTGTCAGAAGTCTTTTTCGGGATTCCGCGGGGACTTCTTGGCTTTGCTGCCTAGGTGATCTGTTGTACTCCCCTCTTGCTTTGCCTGTCTGTTGGGAGGGCAGGCTGGCCGCACGCCCTGCACCCTGTTTCGAGGCGGAATGTCTCCCTCCAGGCTTGGTGCGCCAGAATGAGTTCTACTCTCTGCTCTCTTTCCCCCTTAGCACATTTTGCCCCACTAATTACAGAGCGCCAGGAAAGGAACAAAACTCTCTTTTGTCTACCCGATTTTGAATACTACCTACAGCAATAATTTCCCTAAAATATTGGTTTATGTTATATTAATAACATAGAATTGATGCAGTTCACATTTGCCTAGTAACATTTATTTTTTGATTGACAGACTGACATTCAAGTCTTATTAACCTTGGAAAACTGGCCTTGTGTGGTGGGGTGGGATGGAGTGGGGGAGGAAGGCCACAAAAGATACCTTTTTAAAGAAAACCCCGTCATATTGATATAATTGTGATTAAATATCTATAGCCACAAACATAGAATCAAAAAATTGTTGGGTGCTGTATCATTCAAGTAGATGCGCTTAGAAAGCTGTTGGAACTCTATGTCTAGAACTCGGGAGACCAGGCCCAGCAAAAGCAGACTGTGAAGTCATTACCAGGTAAATATTAACCTGCACTTGATTCCGTGCTCCTTAAGCAGAGGGGGAGTTTTCTTTGCATCCTTCATGAAATAATCATACTAAATAAAGACCCAGCAAATGTTTGTTAACTATTACTCTTTCTAGTCAGCCCTTCAGGCATTATGAATGGAGAAATGGCACCTATAAAGTTAATTATTACACCTTAGTAATTACTGAGCACCTTTCCAAAATGAGTTCTCACCTCAGTAAAAGTGGCCATCAGAAAGAAACAGGCTCCGTAAGACTTGGACATCTGTAATATATAAGTCCAACCAAGCTATAACAGGGGGCTTCAACGAATTCTTGGGAAACTTACATTATTTTTCAATTCCATTATTAAAATTAATTTTTATTCTGAATTAGGTGGGTGGAGGCATTACACTTCAGATCAATATTGTATTCAACAACTTAAACTACTTATTAAGTTTCCAATAGCTTGCCCTGTACCCTCTAATTTATCTTCTTCTTCCTTTTATACAGTGTGATTATGTTGTATTCACATATTATATAATTTAATTGTTCAACCATATTAAGAAGAGTTATGCAATCATGACCAATTTCAGATGATTACCTTCTCTTACTCATTATTGCTGGATACCAATTCCCCCCAATCCTCCCCTGCTGTGCCCCTTGGCATCTCTATAGATTCCCCTACACTGGATTTCATATCCAGAAAATCATACACACTGGCAGGAAGCAAACAAACAAACAATAACAGCAAAGACCAGGCAAAGCATCGAAAAACCTCAATCACAAAGAAAGAAGAAAATAATCAAAACCAAAACAACTTTAGCATGGATCAAAGGGACATCAAATGATAAGATATCACATTTTAGCCTAACTACATCTACCCTAATTGACTTTGCAGTGCTCTCTGTCTGTTAACAAAGCTGTACAGTCAGAAGAGGCTTCCTCTGTGGGAGGGACCCTGCCGATGGATGCTGGGCGTCCACTGTCATCCATTGCCTTCTGCAAACAGGGTGTTCAGAATTTAAGCTCTGACACGATCCCCTCCTTCCGGTTTGGATTACATTATTTTTAATCCTTGGAGCAGTTGATACTCAGATATTTTTTGGCAAGGCATATTAGGTAGCCTTAGCATTTTAGTGGGTTATCTGGTTGTCTGTTAACCGCGAAGTCGGCTGTTTGAAACCACCAGCCTCTCTGCAGAAGAAAGATGAGGCTTTTTTACTTCTGAAAAGATGGACAGTCTCAGGAACCCACAGGGGAGTTCTAGTCTGTCCTACAGGATCTCTATGATGGAATCAACTCAATGGCGCTGTTTATTTTTATTTTGTTTTTGTTTTTCAGTATGCTTTTACCACTTCATAAAATGAAATCCTCGTGTGCCTTGTATTTCACTGAACTTGTGTTATTTAAATTTTTTTTCTTCTTTCTTTTTAAAATCTGCTTTTATAGATTTCCTCATTCTTGACATAGCAAGATCATGGAAGATCTCGAGGAAATGTTACTTGAAGAATTTGATAACTATTCCTATGCCGTGGAATATTATCCTCCGGAGTCAGAATTGGAGGAGAAAGCCCCCCTGGGAGCTGTGCACTGGATCTCCATGGGGTTATGCTGCTTCGCATTTGTTCTGGGTGTTCCGGGAAATGCCCTTGTCATTTGGTTCACTGGGTTCAAGTGGAAGAAGACAGTTGCAACTCTCTGGTTTCTCAATCTGGCCATCGCGGATTTTATCTTTGTGCTTTTTCTGCCCCTGTACATCTCCTACATGGCCATGAATTTCCACTGGCCCTTTGGCGTTTGGCTGTGCAAAGTCAACTCCTTCATCGCTCAGTTGAACATGTTTGCCAGTGTTTTCTTCTTGACCGTCATCAGCCTGGACCGCTATGTCCACTTGGTGCATCCTGTCTTATCTCATCGACACCACACCCAGAAAAACACCCTTCGTGTTATCATATTTGTCTGGATTTTGGCTTCTCTGCTTGGTGGACCTTCCCTATACTTCCGGGACACTCTGGAGTTAAGTAACTACACTCTCTGCTATAACAATTTCCATGAGAATGAGAACGACCTCAGACTGATGAGGCACCATGCTCTCACTTGGGTGAAATTCATTGTTGGCTACCTCATCCCCTTGACAACAATGATCGTTTGCTACTCGTGTCTCATCTTCCAGGTGAAAAGGCGAAGCATCGTGGTCTCCAGTAAGCATTTCTGGACCGTTGTGGCAGTGGTCACAGCCTTTTTAATTTGTTGGACCCCGTATCACCTGTTTAGCATCTGGGAGCTCATGGTTCATCACAATAACTACTTCTCCCCTGTGTTACGGTCTGGCATCCCCCTCTCCATGAGCCTGGCATTCCTCAATAGTTGTGTGAACCCCATTCTTTATGTCCTGATGAGCAAAAAGTTTCAGGTTCGTGTCCGTGCCTCAGTGTCAGAGATACTGAAGTATACGCTGTGGGAAGTCAGCTGCTCAGGCACGGTGAGTGAGCAGCTCAGGAATTCTGAAACCAAGAACCCGTGTCTCATGGAAACGGCCCAGTGAGTTATGCTTTTTCCACAACTCAGCACAAGGCTCTTCTGGCGGGTACCCTAACACATGCTTTTGGATTAAATTCTGTTCCAAGATACAGAGTCAGCATGTTGTTGTTGCCGTGCAGTTTGGCAGTTTGTGGGCATCACATTTTTGTGAGGACATTAAAACTTAGAAAGGGTCTTTGTAGTTGTTTGGGGGTGGGGGGGTTGTGTGTGCAAATGATCTGTGTCAATATTGCCGATTAGACCATAATGGGTCAGTTGAAGCAATATCAGTTACTAACTTTTTAATCTTAATAACTTTGTAAAAGCCATAGACCTGAACATTAAAGATACGATCAACTCATTTCAAAAATGTGATATGTTTGCTTAACATCATTTTAATTTTGCATAAGCAGCCTATTAGACATATTCTTAAAATGTCATGTGTATGTCATTTCTTCATTCTATGTAATCTATGTTTATACATTTATGAATTAAAGTTAGAATTGGTTATATTCTTTTAAAGCCTCACTTCCAGTTATCTATTGATGTATAACCAACTGCCCTAAGGCCTAGTGATTTAAATCCAAAAATGTACTATTTTATCTCACAATTCTGCAGGTCAGGAATTCAAGTACTATACAGATGGGAAGCTTATCTCTCTGTTTCTCACCTGGACTGGGATGTGGTTTGGAACAGTTGGGAACTGACTGAGCAGTTCTCTTTCCTTATCTGCATCTCCTTCCCCTTTGTATTTGATGACATATCCAGCTCTGGACTTGGCAGTATTGCCAATGCATACCATTGTCAATGACTTGCTGCATTTAGATTGTCAATTTGCAAATCCATTGCATTGGAGACTCTAATAGTATTTGGACCGCTATATGAAATCATAGTACATAGATACTGTGATTGAGACACTTCAAGTTCCACTGAAAACATCTCTGCCACTGAAATTCTAGACCTGGATCCAGGAGACTTGGACTGTGGTCTTGACTCTGGGCTACTTTTCCACTGCTTTAAAATGAAGGTGGAGCCTCAGAGGCATAGTGGGGTAAGCATTGGATTGCTAACTGCTAGGTCAGTGGTTCAAGTCCACCAATCACTCCCAGGGAGAATGATGAGGCTGTCTGCTCCCATAAAGACTTACAGTCTCAGGAACCCTAAAGAACAGGTTGACTCTGTCCTCTAGGGGCACTAGGATTCCCAATTGACTCAATAGCCATGAGTTTTTGTATGGAGACTGTGTTAGTCTGGGTAGACTAGAGAAACGTGTCCATGGACACATGTGTATAAGAAAGAGATTTATATACAAGAGCAATTAAACATTGAGAAAACATTCCAACCCAGCCCAGATCAAGTCCATAAGTCCAATATTAGCTCATATTTCTGATATCAATCTATAAAGTCCTCTTCAATTCACGAAACACATGCAATGACGCCAAGTGCAGTAGATCACAGGCCAGTGGGTAGAAAGTCTTTGGATCCAGTGTCATTGGAAACATCTCAGCGCTGGCAGGGGTCTCTCTGTGGCTTCTCCAGCTTCTGAGGTCTGGTTGCATCCATGTGGCTTGCCTTCTGCAATGTCTCCCAGGGAGTAGCAGAGAGAAAAAGGTGTCTTCTGCCTACAAGGAGGAAGTACCAGATTTCCCAGAATTCTCAGAAGGCCATGCCCACAGAAGTCTCATTGGCCATCTCCAGATTGACAGTCTAGACTCCACCCCTACACTCTTAATCCTTTACTTGACACCAGATTAGGTGACTACCACAAGGACTGATGATCCTTATAGACTGAATTGTGCCCAGTGCCCCAAAAGGGTATTTTTAAATTCTAATCCCTGTGCCTGTGAATGTGACCATTTTGGGAAATAAAGTTTCTAAATATGTTACCAGTTAGATTACCATGGCATCACAATGGAATAGGGTGGATCTTAATCCTATGTGACTGGTGTCCGTATCTTTCAAAAAGAAGAAGGTCCAGAAAGGCACTAGCTTCATGAAGACAAATCTGTAGGCCAAGGATCTGTGGCTATTGCCAGAGCTAGGAGAGCAGCACAGAACATGCTCAGAAACCTCAGAAGTCAACAGTCTGGTTTCACACTCCTAGCTATCCGAGCTAGAACGCAATGAGTCATTCCATTTGTGGTGCTTTGTGACCACAGCCCTCTCAAACCGAACCAAACTCACTGCCAACTCACAGCAATAGGACAGGGTAGAACTGCTCCTGTGGGTTTCTGAGACTCTTAACCTGTTACAGAAAGAGAAATACTTGTCTTTCTTCCATGGAGTAGCTGGTAGTTTTGAAGTGCTAGACCTCATGCTTAGCAGCCCAATGTGTAACCACTATGCCACCAGGGCTTCTGTTAGAACAGGGCCTAACAAACTGATCGTTACTTAGTGGTCGAAAAAATCATGAGTACTCTGGGAGTGCCCATGGCCTACCATTCTTATGTTGCCTTTCTAAACACCAATTGTAAGCTAAAGGTAAAGAGAAATATTAGAGCACACTTCTCCAGTACCTATGCTAGTGAGAGAAATTACTTGTTTGTTGGAGACCCAGAAGGAAAAGATATAAGCTCCAACTATCTATATAAACACTTTAAATTTGGCTTCCTTTTTTTTAAGTTCCAACGGAAGAAGCTGAAGACAAAATGGATGTAACCAACAGGGACCTTATTGTTAATATTAGTATGAAGTGTCATACTAATATTAATAAGAAATCAGGAATGAGGGGAACACCTATTCAGGATCAACTTCATGCAAAGAGATGTCTAAAAGCGTCGAAGTGCCAATGAACACTCTACTTCAAGGCTCCAAAGTCCCAACTGAAGAACATTACACATTATATTTTAGATTAATATATGCCAATTTCTGATTTGACATTCCTAGTTTATGCTATTTCCCAGGTCTTAAAATATCTTTAATACTGAGGACAATTCAGAAAGCAAATTGTTTCTCAGAAAGTGAATTAGTTACAGTGTGAAGTTGAGAGACAGTAGTTGTCTTAGCGTCCTACCTTCTTTCCTTTTATCAAATGCTTTCCAGGTATCTTCCAGCGAGCCACCTACCTAGACACCACTCCTATCTTAACTATGTTTATACATCTGAAAAAGAGCTCTCCCCATTCCTCTAAAGACTAAGACAGTGTTATCCTAGTACTTCCACAAAACGATGTAGTATAAATTCTCCCACTAAAATGTAAGACACTTTCTACTTGTGAGAATTAGCTAACATCCAAATATTATTTACTTTTCAGCCACAAATTAGATTCTTATAACAAAGAGTAAAAGTGTCTGCTACAAAATAGGCTGCCAAGCATCTACCAAGGAAAGTTGCTCTGGGGTCACATAGAATCAAAAGCCATGACCACCACCACCCCAAGTGACCCCTATTCCTATGTTTAAAGGCTGGATTGAGATACAACTAAGTGTTAACAGTAATTATCTGTGGGCAACAGAATGAAAGTGTGTTTATTTTTTATATTTTCATTGCTTCATGTTCCTACAATAAACTTTTTTCTCTGAAATCAACTTGTGCTTCAGGAGTGTCCAGTTCATAAACTACAGCACAGCCAAAGCAGAATCCGTTTGTTCGTTTGTTTTCTCTTTCCTACATAGAAAATCATTCTTAATTCTCTATTGTGCACAAGACTCTATGCAAGATGCTATAGAAAATGCAAAGGTGAAAAGATGCCACCCTTCCAGAAAGAGCACATAATAGCTGGAATCATCTCAGCTTAGTTGATGCGATGGGGGTTTGAATTTCTGCTTCACCAGCTTTGAGTCATTTAATTTGCGTCAGTATCCTCCTCCAGAAAAAGACCAAACACATGAAAATTTTAGTCATTTCATGCTTCTTTGGGTGAAGATTGGTGAGTCATGGTTTGCTTTTCTATGACCTTTCTAGCCATAGATTTATACCTCCCACAAAGTGACTGGGTGGGCTATGCAAATAAAGTGCTTATAACCTACAAAGGGGGTTAGACAGCTTGCTAATAATAATGCTAATAACGCAAAGAAGGTACACCCTGTGGGGATGGGACCATGCCAATAAGGTGTGTGAACCCCTAACAAGGGGATTGTTCAGTTTTGCAGTCCAGTTAAACTTAAGGAGAGTCATTTGAAAAGAAGAGCTGGGAGTGGAACACGTCCTTTGGTCCTGTGGTCCCTGTGTTGAGACCCTCCTAAATCCAGGAGGGAGAGCGAGCGAGCACTGTGACTAGAGATGATGTGATACAGTGAGGAGCAGTGGAGGAAACCAGGGCTGGGATAGCCTGATGGGCTTCCAAATCCATAGAACAAGGTGCTTATAACCCAGTGGGAAAACTGAGTATCTCTAAGCAGGAGCCTTTCTGGTGCAGTGAGATGCCTCTGGACACTTGTCAGCATAGCTAAAGAACTTTTTTTTTT